AAAAAAAAAAAAAAAAAAAAAAAAAAAAAAACATTCAGACGAGAGATCCAGGCCCATGGTAAGGATCAGACTGAAGATGTTGCTTCTCTCTTAAGCCTTTTATTTCAGTGGGTCTCCGAATAGCCATCATTAATGTGAGGAACAGAGGTGTGGCCAGAGCAAGGAAGCAAATAAATGAAGCAGGCTTGAGAAATATGTGAGAAAAGTAACATAATGTGGTTATGGCTCATGAAATGACTAGAAGACAATAGACGTGAACCCTAATAAATCTTCCAGGGAATTACTTTTCCAAAGAAACTATAAAAGCCCATAATTATTTAGAACCCCAAACAACCATCAAAGGAGATGTATTTTCTGACAGCCATGTCTGATGAGGGTAATATTCAAGAGAGAATCTTTTAGAGGGCACACCTGGGCAGCCAGCATGTCTTCCCCTGTCCTGACAGGGGACCTCACAACTTTTGCCTAGGGACTGCTGTGTATTGTCCAGGCTCTCTGTTCTGGGATGGGGGTACTTATTGTGGCTTTCCTTTCCCTGTTCTGTCGTGGTCTATTTGGCAGGTGGGTGGGACAAATGAATTGTCTTTTAGTTTATAGGTCATTGAACCATAAGGAACCATATCTGAGCCTGTGGAGAGGTCTGAACACCACTCAGAGATCACAGGAGCAGCAACTTGATGGATGCTGGTTTGTTCCCCATGGAGAAGGGCTGAGTGTGTCCTATCCACGGGGAAGGAGAACACCCAGGTATGTAGTGGCCAGAGGGATGGGCTGTGGCATAGACTGGTAGTGATCCCCTCAAATCTGCTCTGTTCTTTTTCTTAGGCATGAAGCTAGACCACTCCCAGGCCACCCTTCTCCTTCCATTTGGGTTTATCCAGTGACACGTTTTTTTCCAGTAAAATGCAAGTACAAGTAATATTTGCCACGTTGGACCCAGGCCCAAGATCATGGGCACAGCTCCACAATCTCTTCTCCCTCCTGCCAGAAGCAACTTGGATATGAGAGTAACCTGGCTTCTACCAAGGAGATGTTGACATGGCCTTAGGCGATGATGGAGACACAACTTGGGTCCCTGAACCACTGAGTGCAGCAGAGCTTTTTGCCATTCTGAACTGTTACAGGAGAGAAAAATAAAGTCGTTTCTCCTCTCAGGCACTGTGGTACAGTTCTCTTGTGCTGCAGCAGAGCAGCCTTAGCCTTAGCCTAACACTATCCTTGCTTTTCTGTCCATGTGACCCACCATGAGAACGGTGAATTCAAGTCTTCTACTACTTGCGAACCCCTATTCTCCTTGCATTCCTGTAATTAATGCCTGGTGAATGTAACAACTAGGTTATCTATTGCACAGATATTCATCATATGTAATCATTTAATTTGAGTGGCATTCTGCTATGTTACATAGCTGCTTGTCATTTTGCTTAATGCTTTTGGCCTAAATTGCATTTTGCTTGATTAACAAATCATGACATCATTATTATATTTATTTGCCTGGTGTGCTTTGCTCCTCCTTTAGTTTTCAGCCTCTTGAATTTGGGTTAGGTATGTCTCTTGCATATAGTGTAGAGTTGGATTTTATTTTTAGATTTAATCTGAAAATATTTTTTAAAAAACAAGTTAAGGGCCGGCCCGGTGGCGCACTGCTACAGTGCGCTGCTTGGGAGCACGGCGGCGCTCCCGCCGAGGGTTCGGATCCCACATACAGACCGGCCGCTCACTGGCTGAGCGAGGTGCGGGAGCAACACCGAGGGTTGCGATCCCGTTGCCGGTCCCAGTCCGGTACGGGCGCAACACTGAGGGTTGCGATCCATTGCCGGTCATGAAAAAAGACAAAAAGGAAAAAAAAAAAACAAGTTAAATACAGACCTATAACAAGTAAAGAGATTGAATCAGTAATCTGAAACTCCCAACAATGAAAAGTTTAGGGCCAGATAGCTTCACTGGTGAATTCTACCAAACATTTAACATCAATACTTCCTAAAGTATTCCAAAAAATAGTATAGGAGTGTATTAGTCAGGGTTCTCCAGACAGACAGAATCAATAGGATATGTTATAAATATATGAGAGAGGATTCATTAGGCAAATTAGCTCATGCAATTGTGAAGAGAAGTCCCACGATAGGCTGTCTGCAAACTGGATGTCAGTAGTGTGGCTCAGTCCAGGTCCGAAGGCCTCAAAACCTGGGAAACCAATGGTGTCCTTAGTGTAAGTCCTGGAACCCAGAAGCTGAAGAGTCTCGAGCTCTGAAGTTCATGGACATGAGAGAAGAGTGTATCCCAGCTCCAGTGGATAGAGAGAAAGAGCTTTGCCTTTTTTCTCCATTTTTTGTTCTCTCCAGGCCCCCAGCAGATTGGATGTTCCTGCCCACATTAAGGGTGGATCTTTCCCATCCAGTCCACTCATGCTGTCATGCTAATCTTTTCTGGAAACACCCTCATGGACACACTTAAAGAGATAGTTTTACCATGTTTCTCAGCATTCCTTAATCTAATTAAGTTGATGCCTAGAATTAACTTTCACAAGGAGGGAACACTTTTCAACTCATTCTGAGTCCAGCATTATCCTCATAATGAAGCTAGAGATACCACAAGAAAACCATGAACCTAGATGGAAAAATCATCAACAAAATACTAGCAAACCAAATCCAACAGCATATAAAAAGGATTATACATCATAACCAAATGAGATTTATCCCAGGAATGCAAGGGTGGTTTACTATAAGAAAATCAATTAGTGTAATACTCTATGTTAGGAGAACAAAGGGGAAAAACACATAATCTTTTCAATTGATGTGGAAAAGACATTTGACAAAATCCAATATGTTTTAATGATAAAAACACTCAAACTAGGAATAGAAGAAAACTTCCTCTACATGATAAAGGACACTTTGAAAAACCCACAGCTAACATAAACTCAGTGACGAGTGACTCAAAGCTTTCCCCCTAAGATTAAGAGCAAGACAAGGATACTTGCTTTTGCCACTGCTATTTAACACAGTGCTGGAAGTTCTAGCCAGAGCAATTAAGCAAGAAAAAGAAATAAAAGTCACCCAAATTAGAAAGGAAGAAGTGAAACTATCTTTATTCACAGATGTTATGATCCTATATGTACAAATTAGAAATAAACCACAACAATGATAACAATAACAAAAACTATGAGCTAATAAACAAACTCAGAATATTTACAAAGTATAAGATCAACATACATAAATTAGTTGTATTTCTATATGGTAGTAATGAACAATCTGAAAAGGAAATTAAGAAAACAATTCATTTATAATAGCATCAAAAAGAAAGAAATATGGGCCGGCCCGTGGCTCACTCGGGAGAGTGCGGTGCTGATAACACCAAGGCCACGGGTTCGGATCCTATATAGGGATGACCGGTTAGCTCACTGGCTGAGCGTGGTGCTGACAACATCAAGCCAAGGGTTAAGATCCCCTTACCGGTCATCTTTTTTTAAGAAAAAAAGAAAGAAATACTTAGGAATAAATTTAACCAAGGAAGTCCAAAACTTGTACACTATAAACTACAAAACATTGGTGAAAGAAATTAAAGAATATCTAAGTAAATGGAAGGATATCCTGTGTTCATGGATTGGAAGACTTAATACAGGCAAACTTCAATTTATTGTGCTTCACTTTATTGCACTTTGCAGACGCTGTGTTTCTTACAAATTGAAGGTTTGTGGCAACCCTGCTTCGAGCAAGTCTGTCTGTGCCATTTTTCCAACACCTTGTGCCCAATTTGTGTCTCTATGTCACTTTTGGTAATTCTAGCAATATCTCAAAATTTTTCATTATTGTTATATATGTTATGGTGATCTGTGATCAGTGATCTTTGATGTTAACATTGTAATTGTTTTGGGGTGTCACAAACTGTGCACATACAAGATGAGAACTTAATTGATGAATGTTGTGCGTGTTCTGACTGCTCCGCGGACTGGATGTTCACCCATCTCTCTCTCTATCCTCTGGCCTCCCTATTCCCTGAGATACAACAATATTGAAATAAGGCCAATTAATAACCCTACAGTGACCTCTAAGTGTTCAAGTAAAAGAAAGGGTCACATGTCTCTCATTTTAAATAAAAAGCTAGAAATGATTAGAAATGATTAAGTTTAGTGAGGGAGGCATGTTGAAAGCCAAAACAGGCCAAAACCTAGGCCTCTTTATCAAACAGCCAAATTGTGAATGCAAAGAAAAGTTCTTGAAGAAAATCAGGAGTGCTACTCTAGTGAACACGTGAATGATATAAAAGCAAAACAGCCTTATTGCTGATGTGGAGAAAGGTTTAGTGGTTTTGATAAAAAAATAAAATAAGGCATGACATTTCCTTATGCCAAAGCCTAATCCAGAACAAGGTCCTAACTCTCTTCAATTCTATGAAGGTTGAGAGAGGTGTAGAAGCTGCAGAAGAAAAATTTGAAGCTAGAGAGGTTGGTTTATGAGGTTTAATGAAAGAGGCTGTCTCCATAACATAACAGTGAAAGATGAAGCAGCAAGTGCTGATGTAGAAGCTGCAGCAAGTTATCCAGAAGATCTAGCTAAGACCATTGATGAATGTAGCTATACTAAACAACAGACCTTCAATGTAGACAAAACAGCCTTTTATTGGAAGAATATGCCATTTAGTTCTTTCATAGCTACAGAGGAGAGGTCAATGCCTGGCTTCAAAGCTTCAAAGGACAGTATGACTTTCTTGTTAGGGGCTAATGTAGCTGGTGACTTTCAGTTGAAGCCAATGCTCATTTACCTTTCCAAATATCCTAGGGCTCTTAAGAATTATGCTAAATTACTCTGTCTGTGCTCCATACATAGAAAAACAAAGCCTGGATTACAGTGCATCTGTATACATCTTGGTTTACTGAATATTTTAAGCCCACCATTGAGACCTATTACTCAGAAAAAGAGATTCCTTTTAAAACATTACTGCTCATTGACAATGCACCTGGTCACCCAAGAGCTCTGATGGAGACGTACAAGGAAATTAATGTTGTTTTCACGTCTGCTAACACATTATCCATTCTGCAACCCATGGATCAAGGGGTCATTTCAACTTTCAAGTCTTATTTAAAAAATACAAATTGTCGGGCCGGCCCGTGGCTCACTCGGGAAAGTGCGGTGCTGACAACACCAAGGCCCCGGGTTCGGATCCCATATAGGGATGGCCGGTTAGCTCACTGGGAGAGCGTGGTGCTGACAACACCAAGTCAAGGGTTAAGATCCCCTTGCCGGTCATCTATTTAAAAAAAAAAAAATACAAATTGTAAAGTCTGCAGCTGTTATATTGATTCCTCTGACGGATCTGGACAAAGTAAATTGAAAGCCTTCTGGAAAGGATTCATAATTCTAGATGCCATAAAGAACATTTGTGATTCACAGGAGAAGATCAAAATATCAACATTAACAGGAGTTTGAAAGAAGTTGATTCCAACCCTCATGGATGACTTTGAGGGGATCAAGACTTCAGTGGAGGAAGTAACTGCAGATGTGGCGGAAATAACAAGAGATCTAGAATATGAAGTGGAGCCCAAAGATGTGAGTGAATTGCTGCATCTCATCATAACAGTTTAATATGGTGGCTTGTTATACATGAGAACAGGAAGTGGTTTCTTGAGATATAATCTCCTTCTGTTGAATTTGCTGTGAACATTGTTGAAATGACAAAGGATTTAGAATATTACATAAACTTAGTTGATAAAGCAGCACCAGGGTTTGAGAGGATTGACTCCAATTTTGAAAGTTCTACTGTGGGTAGGGGCCGGCCCGTGGCTCACTCGGGAGAGTGTGGTGCTGATAACACCAAGGCCACGGATTCAGATCCCATATAGGGATGGCCGGTTTGCTCACTGGGTGAGCGTGGTGCTGACAACACCAAGTCAAGGGTTAAGATCCCCTTTTAGGTCATTTTTTTTAAAAAAAAAAAAAAAGTTCTACTGTGGGTAGGGGCCGGCCCGTGGCTCACTCGGGAGAGTGTGGTGCTGATAACACCAAGGCCACGGATTCAGATCCCATATAGGGATGGCCGGTTTGCTCACTGGGTGAGCGTGGTGCTGACAACACCAAGTCAAGGGTTAAGATCCCCTTACCGGTCATCTTTTTAAAAAAAAAAAAAAAAGTTCTACTGTGGGTAAAATGCTATCAAATAGCATCA